TAATTTTAAACACCTATTGTGTGAGTAAATTTATCTATAATGTTCCACAAAAAATTTAGAGGAGCGATAGAATAAATGTATTACTTTCGAATAAGACCATCACTTTGATAAAATTGATTTTCAAAAAAAAAATTATTTTAAGTTTTTTTAATTAGACTGGAAACTTAAGTGATGTACAAGTTAGTTCAATTCAGTATTAAAGTTGCACATTTTTATTTTTAGCATAAATCTGTGTTTATAACAACTAGACATACATTTTTCTTTATTGGTTCTGATTTGGGTCAGCATGGGGTTACTAAGGCTAGAGTTCAAAACTCCTGCTGATATTAGGAAGATATCAGAAAGGAGGTGTTCTGGTTATCATTATTATTTTTTTACTAGTATTATCATTTTTCATTTTTGTTTGATGAAAGCCGAGTAAGTGTCAAAGTACTTAATGTCTTATGTTTAGCTAGAATCAGTTGTGACATACAAGATTTGGTTGCCCAGCTCTGTTCCATGCGAAAATGATCTGCTATACATGGTATATTTTAATTATGAAAAAGAGTTAACATAATGTATTAAAGAGTGTTATTTAAAGTAAGTAGTTTTCAATAGTAAAACTATTATTCGTTATTGTAAGACATTTATTACCCTTTTTCAGGCGATTTCTTCAAAACAAAATCGCTGGTTTCTTTGGTATCTACTTCAAAACAATTTACTTTTGAAGTAATTTAATTAATAATAAAGTCAGCCAAGAAATATGAGCAATTTCTGGGCCAATTATAAGCTAAATTTCTTTTTAAGCATTATTTTTATGTGAAGCGAAGTCTTATAAGTAAAGGTTAAAAAATAAGAAAATGGACCAGAGAAAGTGTAATAATGAAAAAAACTAATCCTCGGGGTATTTATAATTAGCCGCATTCTAATGTTTTACTTGCTGTTTACCTGTATTTTTTGCACCCTTTCACCCGCAGCTCGACACAACTCATTAAAATATGAAAAGGAAAACCTTCCAGCGAACAATGCAGAATCAGGTTGAAGCTGCAAAACTTAATTTGCGGTTGGGAAAGAAATTACACACAAAAGTGTTTAACAAAAGATTTTTAACAGCACCAACTGCATCATCATCATCATCAGCCAGGAGTAGAGGAATATCACCACCTCCAACCAGCAACAGCAGCACCACCATAAGCAACAGCAGCAGCAGCAGCAGTCATAAGTATTGGAATGTAAGGCAAGAGCAGCTGTGACTGCAGCACTTTAAAAAGCAACTCTAGGATAGTATGAGTATGAGTATGAGAATGAGAATGAGGTTATCAAGGATAACAATGAAAGCGCATAGAATATAAACAACGAAAATGTAAACAATGCCTAGGTTTTCATATTTTTCTTTCTGAAATATTTATGTGCAAAAATGTATTCCACAAAAGCATTTCAGAGTTTACCTCATAATTTTTCTAAATATTGTTTCTTCTTAGCTTTTTGTTTATTTATATTTCTTATTATTATCATCGTCGTTGTTGTTGTTATTATTATTGTTGTTATGCTTTACTACAGCATTTTTTGCAATTTATATACATTCATATAGTATAGCCTTGGTTTTAGCCATCATTATACGTCGTCTGAAAATTTATTGTTTCTGGCTTGGGTTAACTGAGTTCCTTCATTGTCTTAAATGTCTATACACTTTACCTGGTCCAATTTTGTCTAATTTGGTATTTTTGCCTTTCGCAATGAGGTAAATTAGGATTATGTAGATTCACAATGAAACGAAATAAATTAATGGCAGAATGAATGAGTGCGTTTAAATCAAATTGGCGCGAAGGATCAGAGATTTTCGAGGATAAAAGCGGGCTTAAAACATATTTTGTATGTGAGCAGCTGAAATATGTAAATGGAGTGCCTTTATTTAATTACTATTTGTATAATATGAAAAACGAAATAAGCTAAAACTGAAACAATCTGTTATCTACCAGATTTAAATTTTACAAAACAAATGAGAATTTTTGCTCTTAGTTTTACGATACGAATTTTTCGTTTTATTTTTAATTGCACAAAAAAAAAAACAAAAATAAGAAATATAGATTGGTATGTATCCAGATGAATATGTATCTAGAATTAAAGTAATAATATATATAAAATTGTCAATTTGAGTATTGTTTTAAATACAATTTTTATGTCTTAAGATAAGAAATCTATTTTGAACAGAACACATTTACACTGTCAAAAATTATATGAAAAATGGAAATATATGGAAGAAATTGTTTTTAAATACATTTTTATATATTTTTTATATCCGGCTTCAGGTCATGTTTTTTAAAATTAAACATGTGTTTAATATTATTTAACATATTCTATATTTCGACTCTCTTTGAGAGCCATCATCAGGATAAGAACTAATTAATAAATATTAATAAAATATGTGTCAATTCATCATGTTTTCGGTTATGTTGTCTATATTGCAATAGCCATATACATGCAATAGTAGTAATATATTTAGGAAGAGTCGAAATGTAGAATATATTAAAAAATATTAAACAAACATTTAATTTTAAGAAAATTTGAGTTGTAACCAGATATAATATATATAAAAAATATTAATAAGAAAACGAGGTGGAGAAGCATATTCAGAATTTAATAGTATTTAAACATTTTAATATTTTCATTACGATTCAATAAACCTTCAAATAATTTTTAAGTACACCTATAATATATAATATGGTAATCATTGTCACTAATTTTTAATGCACTGCTATTCTGTACGTAACTGTAATATGAGGGTAGTTTGATAAGTCAGTGTTTTTTTTAAATTACCCGCGCAGTTACTCCAAATGCAACAGTGCTGCCACTGTCAGCTGTAATCTACCAGTGGTCAACTTTTTAATTTTGAGCAAGCTACGTCCTTCATTTGGTGTTTGATAGCCGTTCAAAGCAGACAACCTCGTGAGTTTTTACTAAAATGGAAAAAAGTGAATTTCGCCTTTTCTTTAGATTTGGAAACAGGAAATAGTCGCAGGGGGCTACATCTGGAGAATATGTTGAATGGGGTAGCAGTTTGTATCCCAATTCGTGGATTTTGGCCACAATGCTTAATCAGCATACGAAATTCACTTTTTTGCATTTTCGTAAAAATTCACAAGGTTGTCTGCTTTGAACGGCTATCACACACCAACTGAACGACGTATCTTGCTCAAAATTAAAAAGTTACCCACTGGTAGATTTACAGCTGACGGCAGCACTGTTGCATTTGGAGTAACTACGCGGGCAATTCAAAAAGTCACTGTCTTTTCAAACCGCCCTCGTATGTAATTATATTTTTTTAAAGTCATTTGAACTTTCACAGAAAAAATGCAAGAGTTTTAAGAAATATATCTTCTTGATTTTAATTGAAGACGTTTAAAAGACGTTTTAGTCTTTGTGTTTATATCTTTGTATAAATTATTCTCTTGAAGGCAAGTCTATTTTCTTAAATTAAAATATTATTAAATTTTAATATTACATATACTTCTTAAACATATGCTTCTTCTTAGCCAGAAACTTATGCCATCGATATGGAGAAGGTAAACGTTATGAAATAAAATCTTGATCTTGAATCTTTATGTATCCTCTGCGAATTAAAATTTCTCTTGATTTAATTTTTTTGGTTAAGTTGTATAAAAAAGTGAACCCCACTTCATTCTTCCAAAGATTTCATCCATTAACTAAAAATGTTTTAACGCCTGTAAAAAATTTGTATGTTTGCATTTTTTAATGTAAAAACTTGGTGGTTATGACCAATTATATTTACAAAACATTCAATTATTTATATTAAATTGATAAATCTAATCAAACAAAACCGTAACCGTTCAACGTAATCATCTTTTGTCGACAATTACCGATACTGCGATTTAAAGCGCTGACAGGTGATTTGAAGTGGTTCCTAGAAAAGAACACTTAGCACGCTCCTGGAACAACATAAGACGATACATTTGCTTGTTCTTACCATAGACACACTCGATTGATATCGAGAACCCAAAGGCTGTAGAACAAGAAATATCGATGTTTTTAAAAAACTCTTCTCGAATTGAAATTCCACTCGATTCTGTTGAAATCGTTGAAGTCTTCTGTGTCTGTTGAAGTCTTTTAATGAAAAGCACCTAATTGTTGAGAAATTTCCACCAAACTTATTGTCTCTAAAATTGGGAAAAGAAACAAAACGCTAACTCAAGTGTAATAATAGCAACTGTTGTATGGCACATAATTGTCCAGAATTATTGAGAAACTTTCTTACTATAAAATTTGGTAAAGAAAAACGATTATCCATCGGATTAAATATAACGTACAAATTAACCTTTGGTTCTATATCCACATAATGTCTATTCTAAAACTCTTTCAATAATTTCAAATAAAATGTATTTCAGTTCTGGTTAAGCTAGCTCTTCATTTTTTTTTATAAGTATTTGTATTAAAAACATTATTTTTATCATTATTTATTCATTTTTTAAATTAAATTTATATGAAAATTGTTTAAAATTTTCCTCTTTAGTATTTAAAGTTGTAGAGTGAAATTCCAATTTTTATTTTTATCTATTGTCATTTTATTGTAGAAGCGAAGTCATTATTTGCAAATTTATTATTTGCATTTGCTAATTTAGTGAAGTTGAATATCACAAAATGTCGACATGAATTTATTTAAAATGCAGTTGCATTTTAAAATTCTCCTCCCACCATAAAACATTGTTAGATATCATTGCATACATCACTTCTTTTTGCAGCTTCATTCAATACTATTTAGTGCCAGTTTACTGCATCCAACATCTCACATCCTTTCAGATGAGCGTATAGCAGTCAATAAATAAATACAAACTCGTACATTATGTTTCATTTCAACTTCAATAACAATATTTTCTTTATTTTTTTCTCTTTTGGCTTAATCGCACTTTGCATGTTATCCTGCCATTCCATACACCATACACCGTACACCGTATACTGTATACTGTATTCCGGATTCTACATTCTGCATTCGGTATGTACGACAGCAACAAGTCAACATCATTCATTACTGAACACACCACCAATTCTCATTGTGCCGGAACGGAATTGGCGCATATCCGAGACCGAGGAAGTTGGCCAAATAATTGCAAGAGTTCGTGCTGAAGATGCAGAGAGTGATGAACTGGTATTTGGATTGGAGCCACATTTTCATAGTAACTATGCTGATCCGGGGGACGACGGTGGCGTTGGAGTGACCCGTGATAAATTACCATTTCGCATAGATCCAGTCAGAGGATATGTTTACCTAAACGAGAGTCTTGTTGGTCGGGTAAGTGTTTTCGTTGCATTTTATACTATACACATTCTTGCATAAATATTTTTTGAAGTGTATTTAAGTAGCTTTCAGTATTGAATTTCAATAAATTTTACTAAAAATACCGAAGAAGAAACAAAAATTGTGAATAATTTAATTTTGAAATTCACAATCAACTTCCAGAAAATAGTAGATGCCATGATGACTTTAATTTGAACTCTTAGAGTATTTTTGCAATTATTAAGTTCGAATAAATTTTCAAGTAAAATTAAATAAAATTTTAGACCCGTATAACGTAAATATTCATGGCTTCACTTGGATTTTGCCGGAGGCTTGAGTAAATTCGAATTCAATTCATTCAAATTTATGGCAGCAGCCCGCAACCCTTGAGCGCGAGTGAGGCAGCGGCTTTGGAAGAGTGGCTAAGTGCAAAACGTTTTTGCAAAGTATTTTGACGCTAATTACGTTTTGTGCTGCGAGGGGAGAATTCATCGCTTAGAAACATTTTTGTTTAAAATATTTCCTATGAAGTATTTTAAACTTATTTAAATTTAATAAATTCAAATCAAATTCATTTGACAACGTTAATAACTGAGTTCGTTTCTTTCAGGGAGGTGAGAATATATTTTTGTACATTACTGTTTCCGACGGCCAATTAACTGCAAAGAACGAGGTGTTCGTGAATATACTTGGCAAGAATGATAAGAATTCAGGCTCACGCGCTCCACCTTCCATATCGAATGTTGTACAAAATATTTCGCAATTTTGGCCAGCGTTCAACGAACTGCCGGGCGTGCAATCCATTAGAAATCAACAGCCAAATAGATTGCCAGCAAATTCTTTGCCTCCAGGCTTTGGTATAAATCCTTCCTATTATGCACCAAATCGTAATGGTGGTGTTGGTTATCCGCCAATGCTCAATTTTAATCCAAACCAACAATTACCAATTTGGTCGAATAGCAATAGCAATAGCAATAGCAATAGCAACAGCAATAGCAATGCTGACAACAGTGATGAGCATGATAATGACATTGAGACGGAGGATAACCAAGTGACAACGCAAACAGCGACAACAGGAATTATGTCGCCAACGACAACAAGTCGAACCAAGCTGACGCCTATTCGTAACAATTCCAGTAATCGCAATGCATCACTGTCACACTCGCACAAGAATAACACAACTCTGCGGCCGTCATTAGGACAAATTGATACGGTCGATGCAGACGCTGCTGCTGATGAGACGATTGTATATACTCAAGATGGCACAACAGGGACAACGACAACAACAGCAACATCAACGACTGCCTATTCGATTAAGGCAACTATAATTCCGGTCATAATCGCTGTTTGTGGGCTATTTGCGGCAGCTGCTCTAATCATTGGATTTTTGTATCGCAAACATTTGTGCGCCATTAGTAAAACGCTAAAGAAAAAATCAAAAGAGGAAATGGCCAAAAAGTCGAATCAGAGTAATTCAAGCAGCAATCTAACCGAAGACAGCCGGAATTCAATGGTCATGCAACACTGGAATGGGCCAACTGCTTATGGTAATCGCTATGTACCATGGGAAAGGGATCAGCAACTGCAGCAGGCTTTGGTAAGTAAAAAGCAAAGAATTACTTAAATCTGGTGATGGGAGCGCTATTTAGTGATTAGAAAACTGTTGGTAGTTTAGGAAAGGAATTTAACTAAATGATTTCTTAGAAATACAAAACAAAAAGAGAATAGTAGTTTTATTTTCTTAGATGAAATTAATTTAGTTTTTTATTAATCTTAGTCAAGTATACGAATATTTAATTAGATACTAACAGAACTCTCGGAAAATTAAGCAATATCTTTAAATTTTTTTTAATAGATATTCTATTAGATGTACAATGATATTTTATATATTTAATACGATGTATAAACCAAACCTTTAAAAGGTTTACGCATTTAGCATTCGGATGAATAAAAAAATTAAGGCAAAGAAACCAATTTTTAATTCTTAGAGCCTAATATTCTTTTTTAAATATAACGATTTTAAACTAACTGATTTGCCAAGGTGCATCAAAACCTCAAAAGTTTGTTATTGTCCATATAAACATTATCTATTGTGTAACTCTACAAAAAACACGTTCAGTGGCTACAAATTCCACAAATTTGATGGGCAACTCATATCGCAAATTGTGTAATTATACGAATTGGAAAATCCTATCACAACCAAACTAAAATAGTACGTGTTGTATCATGTGTGGTTTGTGATCTTTCACTGATCTTTTATATGTATATCTTGGATTCCACGCCAAAAATGAAAAATTGGTTATCATGTGGGTTGAGTTAAGCTGACATGTCACTGCATAATAGGAAGACATGTTATGAGACTGGGTTTACCTTTAATGACTTTTGTCACGACTGTGGCTCTGAGGAGGAAGAGGAAACTATGCTCCATATCATGTGTCAGTACCCATCTTAAGCTAGGAAAAAATTAAAAAGCTTCGCGGTTCTTTTTTTTACCGACGTGACCGAGCCGTCAATTTTATGGACGTAGCCATATTTATAGAATTGTCAGGTTGGTTTATCTTTACCTAATGTGGGAGTCATTGCCTTTTTTGGCGTTGGTCGTATACTGACCTTCTAGTTTTCTCTGTGCTCAAGTGGGCTTTTTTAGATACAAGGTCACCACTCCAACCTAACCTCACCATCATATATTTCAATCAAAATTCATGATTTGTGCCGTATCTTAGTCATTTTCAAAAAATATGAAGCCATTATATGAAATCCTAAAGGTCGAATTTTTTTATAAAGTGGGTTTTTAAGGATTTTGACTAAAGAAAGCTACCTTGGATGACATTTCGGGTTGACATATCAGACTTGAACAATGAATACTTGAATTATATTTTCTTCAGTTAATTTAAATTATTTTTTTTGAATAGACTATTAAATAGACTACTAAAGTTGTTAACTGTTAGCATTAGTTTTACTACTTTCACACTTTTTGATAAAAGTAAATAGTATAGAAGGTGTTATTATAGTTTAGTTGTTTGAAATTTAAATATGTTCGGATCAATTCTCTTAATTCAAGTTTCGTAGTTTTTTAGATCTTTGTATCTATACTGCAGGTTTATTGTCATAAAACATTTTTGTACTACTGCTTTTTAAAAGTGTAGTGACATATACATACATATTAAATATATATTATAAATCACACCTTCTGAATAAGTTTTTGTGGTTACTTTGCTAGAAGATAACTTGGGGGCTGTTAGAAGTCTACAGGACTGGAACACATACCTGATGAGGTTTCTGTTGTAATCCTAATAAAATTCGCTAAAAACACGCGCATCCTAAGTGATGCATACTATCGCTAAATATTAAGACTATGAACTGGTATCGCAATGGACCTTAATGGTCTATGTGTGGGCTTTCTGGTCTACTAGCATAACAATCTAACCTAACCTACTGTGCTAGAATATTACATTCTATATATATTCCTTATATTCTTCTTACTTAAACTAAAGTCATTATTTTGTCATTATTTTAATAAAAAGTTATAATGAAATTTTCAATTAAATTAATTTTTTACGATTATCACCAAATTGTTGAGGTATTTTACTAAATGGTAATTAAATTTTTTAGCGGTTCTCAACTGAAAAACCCTTTAAGTTGCTATAAAAGTTTGTGATGAGCCAGCAGCTTTTAATAGAATAATTTTATTTAGTCCATTTAAAAATATTATGAACACTTCTTTGGTGGTGCGGCTTTCGTAGGAGCTAATGTTATTTTTATAGTGTTATAGTGGGAGTGTTAGTTTTGATCTAATAAAGATGCATACCTCCATGATGGTACTCTTGTGCTGCCTTACACAATGCGATACAGTGTTCTGACCTAAAGACCCAAAACAAAAGCACCTTCAAAGCCCAATGAGTGCCTAAAAACAGCATAAAAGTTGCAAGTATTTTTAGCCTGAGCTGTCTTTTTGGCTTTTTTAGTGAATGAGCTGGCACGCTTTTTAATGGTTTCCATCAGCAACTTCGTGTCCTTGTCAGAATAACATTAAAGTCATGACAAAATGCGATACAGACACAAAAACTCAAATACATACACAATTATTCACATAAAACACTGGCAGCTTAAACGTCAACGTTGACATATTATATAAAATGAACAAGAAAGCGAAAATAAAGTGAAGAAAAAGACGTACAGAATCGAGAGGACGTAGGAGAGGTAGCTCCACAGCCATGGATATCTGAAACAAAATAATGGGTAACGTGAGCTAGAAACGGAGCTGATGTGGTGAGGTAAACTGACAGTTTCGTTTTAAGCATGACGTGACAGATTTTCATGTTGCAGTGATGTGCAGCGCAGATTCCACGGAACATTGCATCTTCCTGCTTATAGTTATCCTTTCATTGCTTTTTTTTAGTTGTGTACTTTTTTAGCTTTGAAGAAATGGCAAAGTAGAAGTCTGAGCTGCAGGATAAATAAATAGTGTTGATGAGCAGGAATCTCTTGACTATTTAAAGTGACGTGTAATTCGTCAAATGTTTTTGTCTCAAATTTGACTTTGCTAGACGCAAGCAAATTCCAAATATTTTGATAAAATAATTTTAAAACTAAAATACAAGAAAATAAATACATTTTAACAAAGTTTTAAAGTTTCTAATAGCTTTTTAATAATAAATTCAGCAACTTTTGTTTAGAATACTTTGAAAGTGCAGTTAAAAATGTGATACCTCTTAATATGACAAGACTCTAAAAAATTATAAATATTATAAATAAATAATAATAAAATATTATAAAAATAATTATATATAGTTATAATATAAAATTTTGAAAACGTTATGATAACATTAGTTGGGTAGCTTGATTAGTTTTATTGTTAAACTATCATATAAGCTCCGCTTTGTTACCAGAGACACGTTAATATTTAGTTCCGGAAAAATGTTATTTTTTTAATTAAAAACCAGCCTATATAGTTGATAAATGAAATTAGTTTTTTGAGATATATATTTGGGTTATCCGTCAGGGTCATTACTTTGTATAATCTTATAGTGGCATGTATCAATGTGGCTAGACCTAGGCATTTCCACAGTAAGTGGTTAATTATGACTTTACTAAAAGTTCTCCTTTCCATCTTCTGTAATTCTGGTTGAAGAAGATATCTTATCTTATCAACACAGCCACACACAAGTTTTACTACTTCAAACTTAGTTCTGCTCAGAAAGATATGCGTTCTCGTGAAATTGGAGCTTAGCCAAATTCATTTGGATTTTTTGCAGTCAACCCTGTTTTTTCATTTTTGTTCTAATAAACATGTCGGTTAAAAGTGTGATGTTAATGCTAGGTAGAGCATTAGTAATAGTAATGGAAGCTTTCTAATAATAAGAAAAATCATAAAAACTCTTGACAATTTATTATTTTTAACTCATTTTTTATATCTCTGGTAAAGAATGTTTAAGTTATTGCTCATATTATAGTAGCTGTTATTTGATATACTTAAAATCACATCAAAAGTAGAAATGTATTAAGGATTTTATTGCATTTACCAGAGAGATAAAACTGTTAAAAATCAGTAAAGTTAAGTTTCATGTCAAAGAAAATCCTTTTATTTCTTTGTAGTATTATGCGAGGATAACTTAAAGTATAAAAAGAAATATATTTGAGTTTTGTTTGCTGTTTATTTTTTTGTATAAACTTCCCTTTATTCGATACACTAATTACAATCCATTTACATAATGTCGTGCATCAAAGTCTTTAATGGCAAATATAATGTCTTTATGCCAGTTAGCTTTAAACTAAACTGTCAACTGCAAATGACATGGTTGGGATCCAGATCTGCTGAGTAAAGGATCTACCTCCATTTGCTTCAGCTAATTAGTAATCAGTTGAAATCACTTATTACATATGAAATCTTCTGGTTGACTTGACCTACATACAATAATATCAAGCTTGGAAATTTATTAACAGGAACCGAGCTTATTAACAGGAACAAGAAGTCTCTCTGACCACTGATGTATAGAAACCATACAAATAAAATGCAAGCGGTGAATTCCCTTAGTGAATCCTTGTAAATGGCGACGTGTTTGGCAATTAATTGTCATAATAAATTTATTTCAAGTATGCTCAAATATATATTTCATGATTTTTATACTGACTACAATATAAGTACTGGATAAAACTACCTATTCATTGCAATGTTTTTTAAGCAGAGCTGATCGCTATTAGAGAAACTAAAGCTTGTATTGAAAGCATATAATATATTTAATAAAAATATATATATCGTCAGAAATTCAAGCTGCTTTAAGGTCCCTGAGTTCAGTCCAATTTTCATCTTTGATGGAAATATCGATGCAATTTAACATTACTCAGCTCTGGGTTCCCGGTTGTAACGACACAAATTTACAAAGTAAATTTCTGTGCTACATAAAACAAAAAGCAGAGAAAAACACAGTCTGTGTGTTAAATAACCGCCACCACTACACATAATATATCTAACAACTCACATGAAAATCACTGAAGGCGACTTAACTGGAAAATATAAAATTGAATTAAAATATTTATTTGAAATATCATGGACATTACCTGGGATCCTCGATGCCAATGTGCCGCGGGCATCGCTAC